CTTTCGCATGTTAGAATTAAGTTCAGATTGATGTAGAAAGTATTGTTTTAGAAGTGTGTTTTCAGCTGATTGGATGATTTATTAATTTAATCTCCTGTACTGGGGATTGGAAAAAAACATTCAAAGAAGAAGGACAGCAGCTCCATCATCATCACCAACTGCTTTTGCAGCGCAGGACAACAGAACTCCACGCTGAGAAGCTGCTGCCCTGAACATCAGGACCTTATACCAGAGAGTGCTGCTCAGAACTCAGGACTTTATGCCAAAGCTTTAGTAAGGACTGTAACTTTCTAAACTCTTTGCCTTTGAGTCTAATGCTTTTATACAATAAAAACCTTTCTAGCAACTGCTGGAATCTGAGACACAGAGTGTATGCACTTGTTTCTGATGCTTAACTCTAAGAACCAGAAAAACACTGAATTTCGTACAACATGAAATTCATGAGCATGTTTTCATAGTGATACTTGAAAACAACTGTTAAAGTTAGATAGAAAAAGCTAAAAGTGTGAGTGTAGATTAGAGAGTTTTCTTAAGTCACTGTTTGAAAAAGTTAGTTTAGAGTTTAAGTTAGTTTAGAAAGCCAGAAGGCAAGATGGAAGATTTAGAATGTTTCTTTCTTTCTTCTTCATTTTCTTCTTCTAGAGGTTTTTGGGTAATAGTGAGTGATTGGCTAGAAAATGCCGCAGTGCAGCACACAGGTGTTGTATCATTGGGTCATTAAGAAAAATAATATACGTGTCTATTGTTAATTGGATAAGAATAAGTATAAAGATAAAAGAACTGCATAGTTTGTGGGCCATTTTGTGCTTTCAAAGCCAATGTTAGCCACAAAGTGAGCTACAAGGCCATTCTGTACCAGTCTGGAGAGACCTGCCAAGTTTTGTGATAACATCCTAATAAACATGAGAAACAAGATCCTAATAAACTTTAGAGTTTTTATCCTGACCCAGAGGACTGTGATAAGCAGGACTTCCCATGAAAGAGTATCCCAAAGGAGCTCAGCTCAGAGACTGAGAAATCCAGGAGTGAAAAAAAAGTACAGAAGTGCAGCAGAATCAGAAAGAGAAAAAAGAAACAAAAAAGAATTTTTTAGAAAAGTTTCAAATGGTGCCCCATGTGAGGAATGGTGCCCTGTGAGTGTCAGAAAGAGCTCACAAAAGCCTCAGTCAACACCTGCCTGGATCAGAGCACCCAGTTCCTGAAACAAATCCATCTGGAGAAAAACATCTGCTATCAAATTCTAGAGTTCCAAGGGCCCGGGACTCACGGAACATTGGATTCTGCTGGTCAGTAATCTGAAGATAGCCAACAGGTCTTGGTAAGTTGTGTCCAGTCTAGAGAATGGGATTGAGTATCTCTAAGGAGGAATTGTTTGAACCC